AATTGATCCAAAACTTGATTACACAAATTGTGGAAATTTATTATAAATTCTCTACTTAATCAATCTTTTATGTCACTTTTATTGATGTTTCTTGAATTGTTCGAGTCGGGAATCTTTGTCATTGAAATAGAACTGTAATTCTAATCAAGACCTTGAAACATTTTTAAGTGCTGCTAGTAGCTAATACCTATGTAATTTGATGTTACCATCCCCATATGTATTTGGAAATAATTTTCAATTAGTATCATCTAAATTATATAAATTTTGGCTAAAACATAATTTAAATAATTCAAAAACAGACATGGTGACACTACGCAACATATTAACTACCCATTTTGTGAATGGTAATCAAAGTGGACAAAATCATAGGACATTAACATAAGAGGGAAAAAAATATAATCATCATTCCAACCTGTCTTCAATCTCAAAAGCCAGTTTCAGTTAGGTTCAAGAAAGAAAAATAGAACAACCCTACCCTCACCATTGTTTTGCTGTCATGTTTTTTCTTATTTATTTTCCCCAAAATTGCATGCAGTACATGACTTGTGTGGCCTTTAAACTACCCCAAATTTGTTGAATATAATAAATCAAAGTAGGTAAACTGTAGCCTCATCTAACCAAACTCCATGTGAAACTAGGCAACAAATAAAGCAAACCTTTTGGGTTCTGGAAGGATGTTAGCTGGTCCACATAAATGGTCAATAACATTACAGCACACAGTGATCTTGAAGAAAAGACCTAATTATTCCTCTACATTCTACAATCAGCTTCACCTTGAGAGACTCTAAATTTGGGAGTAGACATTCGAATGGCCATCAATCAAAGAAAAGAAAAGAAAAGAGTCTCTCTTTTCTCGGAAACTCTCCTCTCGGACAACAACTCTTTATTTGCTTATTTTTCAACACAAGATGAATTGCAACAGTATCAATTAGTAGATCACCCGACACCCATCCGGATTTTAATTGAAAATCGATTTGTAAAAATAAATTTACAAGAATACACGATGGATATTCTAGCAATGAGAGAAATTGTTCCAGGTGGATCTTATCCTTAAAATATGTTACACATGATTAAGACTTTTCTAATTGAGGAAAGAAAAATTAATAGATAGTTTTTTTTCTTGCTGAGTGGTAGCTGTCCCTTTACTACAACAATTCTATCCTCCTTTTCTCTCATCTCACATCTGAGCTTTTTAAACAACCAAAGGAAGTTGCAGGTGCACTAACACATGGCTTGTCGGCCTATGCTGTCTACATAAAGCTTTTCTTTCAGTCATAAAAAATGTAAATTTCCCAGTCGAACCATGCATCAAACATGTAGGCACATTATACCAACGTGATTGCTTTCTTTTTTATTGCATTATGTATTTTAAGAGATTTTACATTGGGGCTATGGACCAAGGCCTTTTAATCAATAATCATATTTGTTTTCTTTTTCTTTTTTTCGTTGGAAAAGAAAATTGAGTCATTTAGACCCTTCAACAAAAGATATAGAAGCTACAATGAGTTCTTCCGGTTGTTGTTCCCCCAGGTTAGCCAAACTGTCTTTCTTTTCCTTATGCGTTGTTTGGTAGTAATGATAAAAAGTATGGAAGATAAAAAATAGAAAGTATACACTTTTTATGTTTTAAGAAAAAAAATAAGAATGATACATTTTCTTTCCTTTGTGTTTGATAAAATGAATGAAAATAAAAATAATTAATTTTTTTTTGTGCTGACTAAGATTAGGGGTCACAATCGAATCGTGTCATGTTCATGTTAACTTATTAAGGATTTGTGTCGAACATTAGTCAAACATAACTCAACTCATTTAACTAATTCTGTCGTATTGAGTTGACATGTTTATTTTCATGTCGTGTTCGTGTTTATATTCGTGTTAACTCACATAAACTTTGAATAAAAAATTCAACGTTAATATTCTATTTTCACTTAATTAAATTTATGTTCATATTTTTTTAAAAAAACTAAAAATTAACTTAAATAAATATAATAATAATAATAAGTAAAAATATTTTTTTATATAATAATTATGTCAGTACTTAATAAGTAGTTACAACTAATTAACATGTTATGTCTATAATACTAATTAAACATGTTTATTTCATATTAATTTTGTGTACTCATACAAATTAAAAAATATAGAAAGTATTTATTTTTAAATAAACGGGCTGATAGTGTCAATTTTAAGTTTGACGGGTTGAACTGAATATAAGTCATTTATATTTTTTGTTTGCGTGTCAGGTCATTTTCAAGTTCGTATCATAAAATTCGTAGGAGTTTGAGTTGTGTCATCGTATTGAGTCGAAAATTTTCACCTTTAATTAAGATAGAAAAAATATTTTTTTAATTTAAAATTTTATTTTTATTTTTTAAAAAATATATATAAATACATATTTTATTATTGTATTTTTATATGAAATTAACGTATACATAATATATGTATACTAAAAAAATTGAACGTTGAATTTGAACGCAAAATAATAAACAAATGGATATTGTTGTTAAGAAGTAAGAATAAAAATGGATGTCGATAAAATAATAACACAACGGACAAAAAAAAGTAGGTATAAAAAAAATACAAATGAAATTAAGTATTGAACAACAACAATAGTTAAAATAGTATTGAACCAAAAAGAGTTTATAATAATGGACTCAATTATAAATTAGTCTGAAAAAATAATCAAAATCCAAGGAAGGAATTGTACAAAAATCATACAACCCATTACCTACGTAAAACCAAAAAACCAAACCCTAGTAGTCATTTTTTCATACATCTTGCGTGCAAACCCAAAAAAGGAAAACTAATAAAACTGTGAGCATACTCAAAAACTCACAGTTTCAAGGAGTTTAAAGCAAGAAGATCACAATTTCAAAAACTCAACCGCCATGGCAACAAATGCCCAGAAGATCACAACAAAAATCAACACAATAGAATTGCAATCTCAAAGCATAGTCCTCAAATTGGTTCTCTAACTATATAAAAGAAGTCCATCTAGAATTGCAAATGCTTATTCTGCCAGAAAACCAATTAATTGCATGAACTTGGAAGCAATAATCAACTATAGATATATGAAAATGAATCACAAAACTATAACAAAACAGAATTTGGGCAACACAGCTCCTGTGTCTTCCTTAACTAAAATATGCTCTAGTAGCACTCCCACTTGCATAAAATTTCAGGTTCTGGTGCTTTCTCACTCTCTCGTTTTTTTTCTCAATCCCACTCGATCCTCCAAACTTACTAAGCCTTTTCTCTTAGAACCATGAATTGGGAAGATAAGAAAACATCGTTTGCCCCGAAGCCCTGGCTTAAATTTCTTCAAAGTAACACCCCCTCCAGAAATTACATAAGCTCTCAGATCTGTCCCTGTGAGTGGAGCACCCATAATTTCAAGAATCCCAGCCGATTTATTAAGCCTCCTCATGGCGAATCTTGAACAAAGGGTGGGGGGGGGGGGGGGGAATACCTGGATATAGCGGTGGCGGTGGCGGTGGCTGCAGCGAAGTCGGTGGCTGGTAACAGAGAAAGAGAAAGGAGTGAAGAGTAAACGAAGAGGAAGGTTAAAAAAAAAACCGAAGGCAAAGGAGTAGAGGAAAAGAAGGAAGGTAATGGGTGCAGGCGGCTGTGTGCTGGTAAGGGCAGTGAAACATTAAGAGGGAGGTGATGGGTGTGATAAGATGATTTTTCAGGGGAAATATGTGTTGGATAAAATTTAAACTCTCTTATTTTTTATTATATAGATATTAAAAGATATATAGATAAATAAGATATATTTTAATACAAATAATTAATTTTTCATCTATTTTATTTTTGATTTTGAAAGAATTGATTTTAATGAATTTAAAGGAAAGTTAATTCATCAATTTTTCTATCATTCTTTATTAAATATGATATTTTATTTATCTTTCAAATTTTTCATCTTTTAAATTTTTTATTCTTTTATTTTTTTATCATACAAAATAGAGCATTAATGTATGCACGATGGGGATGCTAGCGTACATCAGATGGTGCCTGCAGTTAACAATAAGGATCCTTAGGGTCATGTTGGTTTTTTTGAGTGTTCAAGTCAGCTTATATGTACCTTGACTAATTCTCTATTTGATTCGACCAAAGACAAGTCATGCACACTAGTACTAGGGTATTCATGAAAATAAATTCTTCATGATTTGGCCTTAAAAAATTACTAAGATTCGAACTTAAAACGTTTGTTTTTACGGATCGTTCCTATTACCACTTGAACTACTTTAGAGTTAGTCCATGTTGGTTTGAAAGAAGTCTAGTGCATTCATATTTTTTGTTTGACAGTCAGGGCGTCTAAACTAGCTTATGCGCGTCTCAACTAATTCTTTAATTGGTTTGGTCAAAGACAACTCATTCATGTCGGAATTAGAGTATTTATTAAGAATAATATAATCAGTTATCAGGTGATTAGATTTCAGTGAATAATACATTAATGTAAATTTTTGATCTATGAATATAGGTACGGTATACCAAGGTGAGTATACTGTACTGAACTATGTTATATTTTTGTGTGATCGATAAATCGAATGGTTTGGGAACTATTAGACCAACAAATAAATCTTATGACCTGATATCAAGAAGTTGTTAATATTCAAATTCAAAACATTTAAATTTATAACTTATTCCAGTTATCAGTTAAACTATCTAGAGTTTAGTGTATTTATTGTGTTTGTCTAGATAATGACATTACTTGGATGATTTCCGGCCCTTTGCAAATGGTCCACAAATAGCAATGTGAAAAATAATAATCATATTTGTTTTCATCTACCCGGTGGAAGCAATTAGTTTCAAAGGGTTGGCCCCATCGCCATTATTGGATGGTTGTCAATCTTAGAAATGTGGCCATGCATGATTGAGTACCAAAATAGAATGTGAAAGATAACAGCAATAATTCACACAATCCATAAAGCCAAACTCCAAAGATCACATGGTTAAGACTCGAGGTCCTTGATTGATTCTTTACTGAGTAGAACTCATTCTTAATTACCTTGGATGCCAAACGTGGGCAAGTAGAACTCATACTTGCCGAGACTGACATGAGCAAACCCAAGCCTTGGCTTTTGCTGAGTAGCATGAGCAAGCCCAAATTCTTGGCTTTGCTTTTGCCAAGTGGCATGAGCACGACCAAGCTCTTGGCCTTGCCGATTGGTAAGCCTCCTTGACAAGGGCAAGCCTTGGCTTTGCTTTTGTCGAGTGGAATGAGCCGCCCTTTGCTTTGCTTCTTGCCGAGTGGCACGAGTCAAATTACCTTGCTTCTTGCCGATCGGCTTGAGGAAACTTCTCTCAAATGCCACTAGCAAGCTTTCAACATGCCGACTGGCATACGTGCCATGGCACGGCACTTTATGTCTTACAGCAACCTTTAAATGATAAGCTTCAATCTAACCTATTGTGATGCAAGATACATGTACCCATAAAAAAAAGGGAGAATAATATTTTGACTTTATGAAGTTTGTCATTTAATTACTAAAACTTCATGATATTTAAAATATTATATATAATACAGACTCCTTAAATATTGTACGCATGTAACACTTAAATCTCTGTTGTCCATATCAGTTAGTAAATTATACTAAGACTCCTTGAAATTTGTAAATGTATAATACTTAAACCCTTCAAATTTAAAATGTTATACTTAAATCAAAAATATTCTAATCAAAGATAGAATATCAAATATTTTAAATTTTATAAATAAAATTCATGTTTTATTATATTATTTATTGAAATAAAATTAAAAATAAAAATTCAATTTTTTTCTCAAAAAATATAATTAGTATACAATTATAATATTTATTAGAATAAAACTAAAAAATAAATAAGGAGTCTATGTCATTCATAATAGAACATAAATTTTACAATTAAAATTCATGTTATATTATGTCATTTATTGAAATAAAATTAAAATTAAAAATAAATTTTTTTCTTAAAAAATTATAATTAGTATACAATTATACTATTAATTAGAATAAAATTCAAAAATAAAATAAGGAAACTAAGTCATTCACAATAGAATATGAATTTTACAACTAAAATTTATGTTTTATTATGTCAAATAAAAAATTGTTTTTCTTAAAAAATTATAATTAATATACAATTATACTATTTATTGAAACAAAATTAAAAAAAAATCAAACAAGCAATCTATGTCATTCATAAATAGAACATTAATTTTACAACTAAAATTCATGTTCTTTATATCATTTATTAAAACAAAATCAAAAATAAAAATCTAATTTTTTCTTAAAAAATTATAATTAATATACAATAATACTATCTATTGGAATAAAACTAAATAATAAAACAAATAGTCAAATTGTAATGAACATAATATACTCTAACTTTAATTGAAGTAATTTGGTAGTTTAATTTTGTCATGTAAATGATTAAATTAAATTCTAATAGATAGTATAATTGTATAATAATTACGATTTTTTTTAAAAGAAATAAATTTTTATTTTTGATTTTATTTCAATAAATATTATAATAAAACATGAAATTTGGTTGTAATATTTAAAATATTTGATATTATATTTTTGAATAAATTATTTTTGATTTAAGTATAACATTTTAAATTTAAGGGGTTTAAGTATTACACACCCATAAATTTTAAGAGATTTGAGTGTAATTTACCAACGAATATGCAAAGGTTGAAAACAGGGGTCTAAGTGTTACGTATGTATAAAATTCAAGGAATTTGTGTATAATATCTTCAATATTAGAGGATTGATCGAGTAAATGACAAAATTAAAGATTTAATTGTATCCAAAAAAATTGCCAAACAAAACCCACACGAAACACGCGGTTCATTACTTCATTATTTTGCACGGCAAAGCAATATTTATCCAACCGTACCTCATCCATCGATCTAGATTGCCCATGATTCAACGGCCCAGATTGCTTCCATGTGTGTCACGTGCTCATCTACCTTTAAAAAGACATCCCATTATAAGTCTGGTTTTAATTCACTTCACAGCTTAACAGCTATCATCTGTTTTCTGTCACCTCCATTCATGGCAGGAGGTCTCTCCCACTTCCATGGAAGACCAAGCTTCCTCACTATCTCCAGATCAAATCCTAGCCGTCCATCATTATGCCACAGACCCATTACCATCAACATGACCCAGACCCAGACCCAAAGCCAACCCAGTCTTACTGGACCTCCATTGAAGCTGACATCGCCGCTCATTTGAAGAGAGCCATTCCGATCAGGCCACCGGTGTCGGTCTTCGAGCCCATGCATTACCTCACCTTCGCAGCGCCGAGAATCACCGCATCGGCCTTGTGTATCGCGGCGTGTGAGCTCGTCGGCGGCGACAGAGACCAAGCCATGGCTGCAGCCTCCGCCTTGCACCTCATGCACGCCGCAGCATACACCCACGAGCACCTCCCGTTAACTGACCGGATCCGACCCAAACCAGCAATCCACCACGCCTACAGCCCGAATGTAGAGCTCCTCACCGGAGACGGAATTATACCATTTGGGTTAGAGTTACTGGCCAAATCAATAGTGAAAAACGGATCAAATTCAGATCGAATTTTGAGGGTCATCGTGGAGATCACCCGGGCTGTTGGGTCAGAAGGGGTGGTAGATGGGCAGTACAAAGAGTTTCTATGCAGCCAATCGAAAGGTGAGGAATCATGGAATTTAGGAGATATAGAGTATGTTTGCAAGAAAAAAGAAGGAGGGCTATATGCATGTGGGGCCGCATGTGGGGCAATACTAGGAGGTGGGAGTGAGGAAGAGGTACAGAAGCTGAGAAAATATGGGCTGTATGTGGGAATGATAGAGGGGATGTTGTATGGAGTGGGAAGAAATAAGAAGGGAATGGAAGGAGAAGTTGAGAAATTGAGAGGATTGGCTACGAAGGAATTGGAGATTTTTAATGGTAGAAAAATTGAGAAAATTTGTAGCCTTGTTCAGGCTGGTCTTTGCAGTGTTTAAAGGCATAGAGCCGAAGTCCTATCAAATGGTTGGAACCCTCCACGATGAAGTGACATGTTGGTGATTCGAGTTTTTCTCGCCCTCCCCTTCCCTGCAGTGGAAAAATATCATTGCTTGTTAAAAATAAAAATAAAAAGTAGTTTTTTTTTTTTGGTAGCAAGGGAAGAGAGAGAAGGGTTTGTATGGAGAAAAAAACACAAGGGACAGGTCATGAAAGTGATTTTATTGTCTTTTTAAATTATATTATCAGAGAATATATGAAATTTTAATTTCCCAATAAATTCTTGTTTTTATTTTTGTTATATTGCTGCTGATAAGTTTTGAATTCTTAATTATTGTCTCTATTGAAATGTTGCATGTGATGTGTAATAAGGGCTTTGGAAGTATTGTTGAATGATTTTGGACTTTGTTATAATTCAAAAACTTATTTTCAATGATTTTGTGTAATTAAAATAAGTAAAATGCATAGCAACAAAACGTTGAAATATAAATCAATTAAGGTGTGTTTGTTTGGTATAATTGGGGTATTAAGAGGTTAGAAAGAGGAAATTAGTACATGGGATTCACTTATACCTTATATTTATTTTGCAATTTAAACTCGATACTAATTTTCAGATCTAAATTCTAACCCGCAATTATAGTTACTCTAAACCCATGTATTTAACTATATCTAATACCACTTCGGAGTTGGTATTGTGAAGTGGGTTCCTAAGCCTAATAGGATTTCAAAAAAAATTCACTCACAAATTTTTTTTTGGATTAGGTCTCTATTGAAGAGTCAAAGCAATTGACATTATTAACGCATTTTATAATTGTAAAAAATAACGACAATGTCATTACTTAATTTAAATGTCTATTCTTTAACACTACGTCATCATAATAAACAATTTTATCCATAAACACAAATCGTAAGACATGTACACCAAAAAAAACAGTTACACAATTAAAAATATATATATACTTTTTAGCTAAAAAATAACAGGTATTCAACAATCGTCAGACAAGTACACTAAAAGACAGAATATTAATGAACATTTTTCTCCATAAACACAGATCGTTAATATGTTAATATACATTTTTCTCCATAAACACAGATCCTTAGATAGATACACTAAAATATAAATCGCTAATGTTCATTCTTCTCCATAAATACAGATCATTAGACAAATAGACTAAAAATACAGATCGTCAGATAAGTACACTAAAATACATATTGTTAATGTATCTTTTTCTTCATAAACATAAATATTCAGACAAGTACACTAAATTACAAATCGTTAGACATTATCATAATATCCAAATAGCTTGACTTACAAGTTTGAATTTCAAAATTAATAGACAACACTGTAAAAATTTCAATAACAAACGTAAAAAAAAAAAAAAAACAGAAACTAACTATATTTTAAGTTGAACTCATGTGATGAGAGTAAACTAGGTAACAAAAATCAGGAACTAACCATTCGCTTAACATTCTCACCAACAGAAGGACCTACATTCAAATTTTTTTAAAAATTGAAAGACCTTTTTTAATATTAAAAATTCGATAAGAATAAAATTAGTTTAAATACCAAATGAGAGACCCTAGCCAGATTAACTAATAAAAATAAGGCCATAAATTGAATTGCAATAAAGTTAAAATTATCATTTTTGCATAAAATTTGTCAACGGACAATAAATATAGTACCCATAACAAGATTACTTTCGTTAATTAATGTCTCATTATAAACTACAATTATGCCTTTTTGATAGAGCCTACTACAAACACTTAGCATGCATCAAAGCATGAAATGACATTGGAGAAAGTCTATATATCAAGATATAAAAATTATGGGGTTGGATTGACATGGATTTCATTACATAATACCATCGAAGTGTGTGTTGAGAGGTAATATTATAATTTAACTACCTATCTTATTGGCAACCCGCCCCTTATACCACTCTACACTATCATCTATTAGGTGGTATCAGATAAACTCTTCAACATGAGTTTTGGGGCACTATAGCATGCGGGTTAAGTGCGGGCTAAGATTTTAATCCTATGAATAATCTCTCATTTAAAAAACACAAGAAACAAAAAATAAATGGGACCCAAGGGCTATTTATCTCTATTCTCAACTTAATACTAATATGTGGGACAAGGGGAGATTTGGAAGATGGGTTGGGAATAAAAGTCTACAAAATTCAGCAAACCCCATGTTTGACAACTATATTTCTAGTCCAAATTACCAAATCTAGCCCGTTTTAGACAATTTAAACTTATATTCATGGGTTTCATGAAACTCGGTTGGGGGTGGGGGTGGGGGGGGGAAGGGTTTCAGATGGGGGTTAATGGATATTGAGTATAAAAAAGACAATTATACCCCCACACACGCCACCCCTATCTCTTTCTCTCTCTCTTTGTTTGCTCATTTGCCCCTCACGACCTTTTCATCGCCATGGACAACTTTCTCCCAAGTACACCGTTCTCTTTCTCTCTCTGAGTAGCCTTACACACGCACAGAGACCACACACAGGAAATTTATGTGTATGTTTTTAACCATTCATTTCCACTTCCCCAGCCCCTCTCTCTCTCTCTCTCGCACAGCAGTTGGGTATAAACTCACACACACAAATAGTCATATATATATATATATATGTATATATATCAGCTAGTAAGTTAAATTTTATTTCCTTTATATTTTTCTCTCAAAAAATATCACATCATCTAATCTTATCATATGTTCAAACATTTAATACTTAGTTAATTTGTAGTTTAACATAACTTTTATTTCATACATTATTCATATACAATAATATACACATGTTAAAAAATGATATCGAGTTATGTATTTTGAAAAAAAATTGACTTTATTTTTAATAAACTAATAGGTAAAAATTAATTTTAAATGATGGAAACAAAAAAATTAACTTTAAATTTAGTATAATGTGATCAATTTTTTAAACGCTAGAATATTATGTTTTATAATACATTCGAGCAGGAGTTATGACTAATATATTTATAAACGCACACATACTTATTTTTTTGTTAATCAGCCGATCCCCATCCACAATAAAAAATAAAAAACACACCCAATTTAGACCCTATCCCCTGTTTCATCTGAACCACCAAAACCCAATCCCACCCCGTTGCTATCTCTAACATAAAAAATTAGATTTGTTCTAATCAGAGAAACCAGACAAACGGTTGTCAAAGATACTAGATGAGATCAAAAAAACTATATCATGAGTACTAATTGGAGAACTAGAGATAGAGAGAGAAAGGTCTGAGCGAAACATATACCACTGACATTCGTTGTAATAGGGAGAGAGAGAAAGCGAGACCCAATCCGCCATCATTGTCGCCTTCACAGAGAGCGATCAAACCCATGGTGGCTTGAAACGAGAGTAAAACGATAAAAGAGAGGGATAAATATGTCATTACCCATAAAAAACATATCAGCTGGGATTTAAACCCAAAGGGAGGTGGGTTAATTTTAACCCATGTAGGAAGGTTAATATTTCCCGTAGCATCTGAGTCGAGTTTGAATCCGAGATTTATACCCTCTGACTAATGTTATTTGAACCTAAAAAATAGAGTTAATTTGCTGACCTAATAATGTAATTTTATTGTAATCATTGGATCAACACCAAGTTTTAATATTTAATGGATCTTACAATTAATCTAAAGGTCATAGTGAATTAAGTCAACAAATTAGATCAATAAATTAGGTCTCAATAACATTGCTCATATCTTATATCACTTTTACCTTCCCAAACAAAGCATTTATCGGCTTTACTGCATTACTAATCTCTTTTTATTGGTGTTAACTCGTCTACTTTCTCCTTTTCTAAATATCTGTCGTTTTATATAATTATTTTTATTCTATAATATCTGTCATTTTATGAAACCAAAGCATAATAAATATTTTTCTGTCAAATTTATTTTTATCTCTATTTTTTAATAAGTGCTTAATAAATTAACCCATTGTTTGCTACGAAGGAAAATTGAATGGACGAAAAAGAGAGGATGGAAAATGGAGAGGATCGAATTAGTTTCCCTTGTTTTGTATAAGAGGAAAAGTGAATGGAATGGAAAAATCGGTGGACAGCTGGTCGTTCCCGGCCACCATTTATTTTCCGTCCAAAAGTGGGCAGAAAGTGGGACAGCTGGTATGAGGTTTGGTTAATTACTTTTATGCCCTTCATCGGATAAAACTGGTGAGTTTTCTTATAGCATCCCACACGGGCCACGCCGCCACACGGCTAATTTATGTAATAGATAAATACTGTTTATTATTTTGTTTTTGTCATTTTTTTTACTTTTTACTATAACAAACAAATTATTTTTTAGACAAATTAATCTTTTATACTTGAATATACTTGTAAACTGTCACAATTTCAATTCAAAATTTACACATTTATCAAGAAATACTTTTAAATATCCTATCAAATATATTACCATTTTAATTAATAATTACAAATTATTCAAAGTAAAATTAATTCCTCCAAAATTAATTCGTAACAAAAATAAGGGGATTAAAATCTTTTTCAAAGTAATTGGATTGATTTGTAATAAAAAATTTACTTCATATATTTAAGGGCAGAATTGTAAATTGGGCATATATGTTTTTCCTTTCCTTTCATTTTTCATCCGATACCAAACGATTAAAAATATCTCTCTTCTATTTTTCATCTCTTTTACCAAACAAAAAGGAGGGAAAATAATTTTCTTTCTTTCATGGATGGAAAGTTTATTCTTTTCACTTTTCCTTCTTTCTTTTCTTTTCATCCTCTGTACCAAACGGAGCATAAGTATAGACTAAGTATCTTTCATATTTATTTCTTTCTCAATACACATTGAATAAGAGTATTTTAATCTTGTATAATTATTTTTTAATCATATTAAAATTATTTAATAATTTTTGTACAAAAATCTTAAATGACAGATACATAGTAGCATTTATTGGCTCTGTTGCATTATTAATCTCTTTTTTCTTATTGGTGTTAACTCATCTAGCATTTATGGGGTCTACTGCATTATCAACCTCTTCTTATTGATGTTAACTCATCTTATCCCGCTGTCCGAATGTCTCAACTTACACGTTTTGGTGGATTGAAATGGAAGACAGCTACAACTGGGGAAGGCTAAAAGGACGCTGCTCCACTCTGACAGCTCTCTCTCTCAAATTGATATTTCCTACAGAAGGACCCCAGAGATTAGGTTGTCCTATCGGAAAATTGTAGTGGGTGGCACATCTCTTTCCGTTTTCGTAATGACTTTATTAGCAATTCCCACTAGCAATTGAGTTGTTCTCTCTTTTCGTCTTCCGAATATTCTAAGGTCCAAAAAAAATTTGGTATTATAAGGTCGGGTATAATTTTTTATAATAAAATTATATATTTTAAAAGAAAAGTTACATAATAGATCACACATTTATAATCGATCATGAATTTTCTTTAAAATACCAATACCAATATCTCGTGATGGAACACATCCTTTAAAAATTATAATTTACTCTTCAAAAATTTATAATTTTTAATACAGTATCTGATGGGATATTTTCGAAATACTCCAAGATGAAGACACGTGTCTTCGGTGTCACTAAATCCTGTTATTGAGATCACGTATCATCGGTTCACAAGTCCCTCTCGCCCGAGGTACTTTGTCATATGCATCAAGTGACATCCAGTACGTTTACGAACCGACACGTATCTCTCGGTCTGATATGGGTACATCGATCGCTATATACACCTCCCCTCGGCTCCGAAATGAACTTCCCCCTCGGGTTCGAGATGTACCTCCGTTCAGGATAGCGTTCTCTGCTCCTACAGAGGCTATTGATGTACAGGTCATTAGCCTAGGTTAGCTATTATGACCTCGTCTTACACATTTGGTGTCAGAAGGCACAAGAAGGCAGGGGCCACAGCCAATGGAGAATGGACGCGTGGCATATTGTGTGACATCAAAGACAGAAAGACCGCATGCCCTTGCTGACACACGACTTGGAAAAACAAGCATTTAATTAAATCATTCCCTTGATGAGACTGCATTCAATGCGGGTAAGGTTCGGAAGTGAAAGACAATTAATGTCTCTAAGGCTAGACATTTATTGCATCCTCCCCGAGAGGAGCTCATTGAACAGTCGGCAGCCCGATGACACAACATTGATTGTTCGGGATCCCGAGTAGTTAAAAGAAAAGACATTCCTCATCGGAATCAGTGCGCACATTGCATGTACCTAATGATCATCTACTGACTACACTGACAGCAATCATGAGTTTTTGAGATATAAATACTCCTCGCAAAAGGCAAGACGGTATGCAACAAAAAACTTTTGCTACAATACATACTCAGTGTTTTCTTCTTCCTCTCTCTCAAAGACTGACTTGATCGTCGGAGGGGATACGCCGAAAAACACCCCGGCGCCCTTCTAACTTGTTCTTCTTTGTTCCAGGAACCTTCTCCCGCTTTACTGGATCGTTCCATTGATCCACGAGAGTCTCCCATTACCGTTTCAGGTTATCACCGGACCTCACAGGCTGTTCCAAGCAGCGGGGTTGACCACTCGACTGAATCACTCGAGTTCACCAAGGAAGAGATCTGTTCTCGTATTTATATTGTGCAAGATCCAACACGCACAGTATCGTAGTAGTCTTTTTCTTTTCTCTCCCTCTTTTTTCTTTTTGTTGGATAAAAAAGAAACTCTTGTTAGCGTAGTAGCTCGATTTCCTAGTAAATATCATAGTCTAGGTTATCCTAGGATAATAAAATATTAAATTAATAAATTAAATTTAAATAATATTATTTAAAATTATTGTTTACTTGTAGTGTTCCTGCCATTTGTTACATTGGACAAACAGCGTTATTCCATTAATGTTTTTGTGTTTTATTATTTTTCTTCAAGGTTTGGTGGGAGCACACCGACTGTAAAAGGGTTCATGTACGTTCATAAAATAGTATAATAAGTTTCACTTGAATTCATGATTAAGTGATTTATCGTTTTATAAAAAGTAAGTAAAAGTGTAATAAATATTGAAGTGAGTTTCTCCTTAATATTGATTAAAAAGTAAGTAAAAGTGTAATAAATATTGAAGTGAGTTTCTCCTTAATATTGATTTACCATTGAAGTAATTTAAGAGATCCAACGCTCTATGCTCTTATTTTAGTCAATTTTCAATTATTTCCTTAATATTTAGAAAAATTGCAATAAATTACAAAAAAAAAAATGCCAAAAAAAAAAGTAATGTCGTGTAACAAACAATGTGTTAGGTGACATTTGAGTCATTGATCCGTTAGGTGCAATTATTGACTTAGGAAATTTCAAAAAAACAAAGGTTTGAAGAAAATTCTTGAAATTAGGAGCGTTAATTGAGTCGAGTTTGACTCTAAGTTTATCGAGTTTGTTTTTTTAAATGAATCTAAAAAATTATGAGATAAACCCGAGTAATTCGACTATTTTACATATAAATTAGTCTAATTTTGTGAGCTTGAGTTGAGCTATTAAGTGTTTTTAACCAAGTATAAAAAATTATTCAAACTCAATTCGTTTAAAAGTCAATTCAAACTCGAGTCTAAGTCTTATCCGATCTATGTCCGAGTAACTTGTCTTGACTAATACTCCTGCTTGAAACCACCCACAGCTCTCTTCCTAAACACTATAATTATGAACCTAACATGTAGTTTAAGTGGTAACATAAATGAATGTTGACAATCCATTGAGGTTAGGTCATAAGAAATTTATTTGTCGTGAATACTCTAGAACAGCATGAATAACTTATTTTTGACCAAATTAAAGATAAAATTAGTCGAGTAACGCGTTAGCCGGGGGCGAATCTATAGTGGGGGCAGCTGCCCCCATTGCAATTTTTAAAACATGTGGGTATATTTAGAATTTCAAAAAATTTAAGACATTGCCCCCAATGAAATATTATAAAAGTTCCTGGGCAAGTTTGTATTTTACAGACAATTCTGGCACCATTTGTCTTTGATAGACTTTTAGATGTGGGCCCGCCGGATAACATTGGAATTTTCTACGAAAACAATAGAAAATTATGAGTGATCCAACTTACAAAAAAAATATATATATATGAAGCGATCTTGGCCGTTCATATACTTTATTTTTTAGATTTAATAGTTTTAAATGAAATAAAAATTTGATTAATTATAAGCAAATTTGAATAGATTGTTAGATTAGAGGATACGCCAACAGGAATGAGTTCGGACCACATTCAAATTTTTATTTCCAAGAACAACAAAATATTTTTTATTTAGATAAATCAAAGAAGCTATTTTTTGAATTTTACGGTTGATCTTGAATTAAAATAATCGATTTTAATATTTAGAATTGATTTCAAGTATCTCAAAAATTATAATTTGATCCAAAAAAATTGTAACTTTAATTTTAAAAGTTGTAACATGACTCATAAAAGTTAAAAATTTATAGAATTTTTTTTTTCTCTTTTGTTAAAAAACTCAAAAATTTATATAACAACCAACAAGGCTTATAAATTCCACCACCGTAGCCCCTTTGATATCAAAGTTGAATTTTAACTCTAAATATCATCTATAAACATGACACACAATTAACAAATAATTAAGTTGTCCCCACAACTAAAAAAGTCTGGCTCCGCCCTTAACGTCAGGTGATTTGAACACTTCTTGCCATTGAACTGAAAAGAAAAAAAAAACACTATGACTATGGAAGAAACCTTGGGAATATTTCAGATGATATCAAAGTAATTATAGGCTATATGTTCTCTTAGATCCCTTCAATTGTCAAAACTTTTGTCACACCATCTTCACAGCTAAAAAAATCAGTCTTTCGTCTTAGTTATGCTACTAGAGGGAAAATACCCATATGAATAATTATGATTTTATGCGCTTACAATTCTCTAATATCTTTATTTATTCGTAACAAAATATTATAAAAAATATGATTTTTGTGGGAGGTATAACCATAGAATACGACCTGAATTGTACTGCATGCACTTGTCTCATACGCTATGCGATGATGAAAGGAGATTTGTTCAACATGACATTGTCTATTGATAACATCCTAATCCTTGCTTATTTACAGTCAAATGGATCCATACATTCCTACGCAGAAATTTTTCTTCTTTTTTGTTTCTTTTCTGATTCTAAGAGCACAGATTTCAACATACAATTTGGCATAGCTTAGGTACAATTTAAGCTGACAAAAGGATCAATCACAAACCAAATATACCCAATACTGCATTAAACAATACCACCATGGTTGCATGGGGACCCATATTCCAACACATCACATTACCAATCATACTGGTGATGTGTCATCACCATCATGATAATGATAATGATGTGCATTATTATTCAAGAAATCCTGTTCTGGTTAACACAGCATTCCTTACCCTACTGAGATCTCTCCCTTTGAGAGTCCTCCCAACACCTTCACACACAGAGAATGAAGATATCTGTGTCCTTGCAAGCTTCTTAGCAATCCATTCATGTGGAGGCATCATATCTCCATCATCACCACCATCATCATCTTCATCACTATCCCAGCTACTAACTCTTATGCCTCCATCCCCATCATCATCATGAAGCCATGAAGCATTCTTGGAGGCCTTTGAGCTCTTCCCATAAATCTTTGACCAGTCTGGTATGTGTACAGGAGCTGACTGTTGAGCTAATTTTGGGTCACCAGTGGAATTATTGTTATTTCTGGGGATCATTCTCGTAGCAGCAGGGAGGCGCTTTGAAGTAATGGAAGAGGACTCCTTGGATGTACCAATCTTGGAATTAAAAGCTTTTCTTTCACTGCGAACAGACCAAACATCTTCTTCTTGAAACTCTTCATTCCTCATGGTTGTCCATCCACTGCTACCTTGGCTGTACAGGCCATACCTGTCCTCCATGGATGGCGAACTAAGAATCCACAAATGAAACAAGTTAATGGTAGAGGGAGAATTAATTGAGATGAAAGATTGAAAAGAATTAATTTCCCTGGCTTGAATAGATTGAAAAGTTACAGGTTATATAGAGATTTCTGAAAATGGACACTGCAGATTATGAGAAGAAAACGGTAGTTTTGAGAGAGATCTAGAGAGAGAGAAAGGGATGGGTTGAAAGATGAGCCTTTTACAGATGCATATTCATATTTTCTATTCTAATACTTTGTTTCTTACCTAAGCTTGGCTTTTGAAGAGTTTATATCAGTAGTGGGGTTTTGGAGAACTTTAAGAGCCCACAGAAAAAGACAACTAAGGCAACAGTGCAATCAGCAAGACGAGGAAGTGACTTTTGTCTTACAGATTTTCTAAACCAAAGGGTCTCCATTTATCTCCCTTCTGTCTCTGATATGCCTGATTTTTGATAGAGAAAGATCAGTAATACCTGTCTATAACTAATTCACTAGTAAGCTTAGGACCTGTCTAACCTGGATTCACTAATTGTTCTACAGATACAGAAACAAAACTTTCATATCTCTGTCCCCCATTTTTTTGATCTAAAAAGACAAGGAAAAAGGTGAAAATGGTGGTGGGAGGGATATGGAGTGCACCTAGATTTTAGAATGGGACAATGGGAAATCATATCTATCTTTATTTATATTCTCACAAGCAAACTTGGGTTTTTTTACTTTCCTTTAATAAAGAAAGAAAATCAAGTCAAGTTTTCATAACCTTTCACAGTTCTTTCCTAGATTTGGTTTTTCTTCTTCATGAAATAGAATTTTCTGATCAGCAGGATTATTTAATTAAAGCCCACTTGCACCAATGGTAGTACAATGCATTTTGACATAATATTCAATATTGTTTTCATCTTTCTCTTTTGCCTTTGCGGCTTTACTGATGAAATTGTCCCACCCATCAAGAAAGAAAAGATACTCACCAAATGTTCAATATTGCCCCTGTCTGCATATATAATAGAGCCAAAAAGCATTTAATATTTCTATACGTACGTACATAATATAAAACACAAATTAATCGTGATGGCATGTTGTTAAGGTTTTCAATTACCTCAATAGCCTAGTAACCTTCTTAGCTATATGATACCAATACATAGGTGCATAAACATATCAATAGGTTAATGTAAAAAAAAAGAAAGAATGTCTGCAGTATGCATGACAACAATCATATAATCTATATGTAGAATTTCTGTTTGATAAATGACAAAACTCTTTTAAAAAAATAATGCAATAAGTATGATGTTTTCAATTCAAGTCTCGTAATGTAATGTACGTTCTAGTTGATAGGATATGCGAGATTTAGACAAGCACCTTGAGTTTGCATAAGAACTACAAAGCTAAAAAGAAAAAAAAAAATTGATTAGGATGGTGTTTGATTAAAAAAAAGTAAAAAATACGAGTGAAGACGACAATGTGAAAATAATAATGAAAAACTTTCAAAGTTTATTGGACTCTTTGGAGGACATTTAGCTATTCATTCCAAACAAAGTTGAAAGTGAAACCTTTTGCTTTTGTCCTCAAATGTGATCCACAGTGAAGAAGCATGGCCGTCATTCAATGTACTTGGCCACACCCACCTCTTCAATAAGGAGACAGATACAGAGATAAATTCAAGCAAAATCCAATCCAATCAAATTTCAACAAGTTCAAGCCGTTTCAACCTCTCAGATTGCTTCAAGAAGAAGAAGAGGATTTGTAACAAGGAATCTTTGGAATTTTGTATTGAGGGTATGACCGCCAGATTCATGAACTCCACTTGATTCCTCTGGTCCAGTTATCAATCTTGTCAAGGGCGGCTGTTAAAATGTACAATGAGGGTCCCACAAATTTACCGCCGCCACTATATTTCACGTGTTTCATTTGTTCTTAAGCATATGCCAGTCTATGCCCAGCTTGCAACCTTTGATGATTGGGAGTGATGTACAACAAATGTCTCTTGTGCCGTCCCTTGAAATATTCTGATGCTGTTAATCAATCTTAGAAGATTAGTTATTTATGTCTTGAATTCTAATTTTCATGATTACAATGATCTCGAGTATAACTGATGAGGTGCATAATTAGCTGATGATTGTGTATGTCTATCGTTTGTTATAGTTACAAGCGCAAACTATGTATGGTCGGGACGATTGCCCAGTACCCGGAAAAATCTAATTGGCTTAAATATGTTACAGCCACCTGTGTGTGTGTGTGGAACTAGTCCATAGGTTACCAGATGACAATGGACAAAAGACATTACAGTGATCTCACCAAGTTGTAAAAGTATTACCAGCAGGTTCCAGCACAAAGGGAAGACTAAGATTCATATATCAAACAGTAATATGCAAGTTCAGAAAAGATGCTCATACAGGCAGCAAATGATTCGAAACGCCATTCGCAAGTGGAAGAAAGAGTTCACTTTCATAAATTAATAAGGAATACCGCTCATTTTATCATCTTCCCCACCCTCCAGTAGAAGTTTTTAAAAAAGTTATGATCAAGATCTCCATCTCTATTGACCATGAGAAGTATTATGAGCTTCAGATAAAACAACCAGTCAGGTTTGTGCGGTGTGATCAGTCGAACTCAATCAAGGTAGCTGTATGTACACCTTTTGTCTCTGGAGGATGTTATTCCGATATAGCAATCTAGCTTTCCCATATTTTTACTGCATTAGAGTCATTTGACTGTGATAGCACTAGGACTAAAATGAAGAGAGTCGGATTGCATCCGTGGACTATCCTGCTCAATCTCTGATCGGTAGCCACTGGCCTTCTGGGAAACTTACCACACTGCCATGCTTCAAACTACTAATTTGAGATGACCTCTGTATAAGGTTATCAACAAGGACAAGATTGGCAAACACTGAGCACATAGAAAAAAAGGGTACTCCAGAGTTGCATCAACTCTTCTACAAAACTATATGCCCCTGTCCCTTTAGTTCCCAATGTCCCGATTAGTAACATCATGAAGTTTCAATTCTCATAATGAAAATGCTTTTAAATCCTTTCCAACAGCCAAGCTCCAGATGATTAAACAAAGGAATCCAACCCAAAGCTTCTAGATATGAAGCACGGTCAAAGTGCACAGTTCCCTCACTCCTCATTATTCTGAAGTGAAAAGAAGTATGTTAACTTAGTCTTAAACTCAATGTCACACCTGACGGGAGGATTGATAATGATTCACGACAAAAAGGTGGTCTGAGATTGGATCTTCAAAGGAGGAAATTTAGGTCACTTGGTCACAGCTTGACTTCAAATAAGATGCTATCTTGGTAGACATATTGAATAAGCCCCAAACCTACAGTCATCCTAATCAAGTAGTTTCCTTTCATCTTCAAGCATTTTCAGACGGACCAATGGATAGCAGAACTGTAAGCTAGAGCATCCTGAATCTGTACAACAAATGGAATGCTGATTGGTATGAATTCAAATACCTACCAAAGAGGATAATAGTTGCTGCATGGAGGAATGTTCATTATACTTGAAACAAAGGCCCAACACCTTTTCATTTCAAATCTAAATGTTTGCCTCACAATGAAGATTCAACCAAAACAATTCAGAGTTCTCCGGAAAATCCAACAAAAACAATGCAGTCAAGAAGTGTCATTTCATTCTAAGCAGTGAGCCAATGACCAAAAACATGCATACTAAATGTGTTATAAAGGATTAACCAAAAAGCATGGGAAAAAGGCACAAACCAAGAAAAATGAAGAGCTTAAACACAAGTGCCTCCGCTTCTGCAACAATAATCTCCAATATTTCACCAGTGACCATAGCTATGACCTGCAGGTCACGGGTTCAAGATCCTCCCTAAACCCTACAATGGCGGGAGCCTCGTGCCCCTTTAGTAGTCGACCTTAACAACTTGTTTTCACTTGCAGCAAATACATTTCCCATTAAACATCACGAACCTCTCGCTTTGCGCACAAACACAGTATACAAAACGCCCAACTTTTTTCAATTTCATCACTCTCAAATACTGTAAATACATCATGAGCATACCTTCTTTTGATCCGTCTAATAAAATCTAAACCCAAGATTCTTCAATTCCGCAATCCACCTCTCGGTTTTTGTCAAGAACTTCAACTACACAGAGCAATACATGGTTTTTGACAGGTTCCCTAGGGTTTTGCAGAAGATTATTGGGTCTGAGAAATAAGGAAAACTAGTCAAATCGATCAAAAACGAAAAATTACAGGCCAAAAGGTGATGGTTCAATTGGTGTCGATCCGTCAGGCAATGTTGGAGTAAGTGTGCTCCGACCCGTTATCCATCCACCGCATGGAGCGGGAGGTTCTCGCTGCTCTGTGAAGCCAGCCTGACGCGTTGCCCTCCTCTCTAGGAGCCATGACACTCCGGCCTTCACCGGAGCAGCGTGGTTCACCTCTATGCTTGGATCGGGCGGGTCAGCAATTGCAGCACCGAATCCTACCATCCGGTTTGACCCAACGTTCCATCACCTTAGTACCTCCACTCGGATCACAAGCCCGCGTTACTGAGCTCGGCGGTTGGTTGAGCTGTTTCAGGACTTTATCAATCCACCTAAGTTCTTCTCTTTTATCGATGTGGAATTGAAGTGACGCGGGTACTGTTTGGGAAGATAGAAAAACGAACCCATCAACTCCTTGTGTCAGATGGGAGACTTTTTTGCTTTTGGGGTATTAGATTTCTTATTACTGTTTTGGACAGTTCTATTATCATGTGTTTTCTGTTTATAAATTGCTTTTTATTAAGTTGAAAAACAACTTATATGGGATATGAATTCATGTAGAAAATAAGACCTTTCTCGTAAACATGATGAGAAAAATGGCAGCAATTGTATAGACTACTTGCTGCCAAACAGGCCACTATCCCATTTGATAGAAGGGGATGATAGAACTTGATTTTTGTTAGGCTAAAAGATATATCACTTATTTGCTTGTCTTAAAATTTTAGGGTTACAAATTTCTGTTAAGTTTTAAATTTAATGTTAAAGTGCACATCAAATAATAAAATGACTAAACTGGTCAAAATATGTCACGAGTTACCTAGTGTTCTAGAATTGTCGACGATTATTTAGACCACAAATAAATACAACTCACGTCTCACGAATAGGTAGTGACAAGACGTGGTCAGACAGACCTGTGGAGAGTGGACACGTGGAAGAAAGAGGACACAGGAGGCGAGTGTCGAGGGGTCTCTACCCATGAAAAACATGTTAATTATTTTGATGATATTAATGCTCGGGACAAAACATTGATAATACACTACAATTGGGTCCAACGACACGATCTGACATAACTAAAAAAATATGAAAAAGTGAATGTCTCAAGAATAACGGTCGCACCTCCTTCTAACATAAGAAATCGATAAAAAGACATGCATAAAAATACCAAGTTTGAATAATGGGATCAATAATACGATACATCATCGAACTTGCCCATTTAGTGGTCGGTCTCGAGTATGCCCTGAAAAGAACAATGGTCATACTTGGCCAGTTAGGGTCATTCAATGCAAAATGACGCATTAATGCTCAACACCGAGCATTAATGGACAATAATGGCTTGGCTTTTGCTCTCTAGGGAACTATAAGTGTGTAACTCGAGACATAGTAATGTTACGGCTCAAAAAGTTGTTAACCCACAGTCAATAAGGACTACCCCTGACATCTCCATGTACGATCAAATTAAGAGAGTTTCTCTCTAACACGTTGATAGGATATCCAACTTGTCTGGCAGTCTCGTTTTGAACACAAGTGAAACACCCTTGACTATAATACTCCCTTAGCCTAATACCATGGGTACGCAACTCTATCACAACCGAGATATTGCATACCTCCCTCATTCGGACGATTGAGTTGATCACCAGAGGGAAAACGTCGCATACACATTTGACTCCCTCATAACTTTTTTTTTTTTTAGCAGAACCCATCTAGCGCCCTTCTTCAGACTATTCGTGGACGCTCTTGTCTCTGGTTAAGATGTTCTAGTAGACAAGAATATTCTTATTTGAGTTTTTTTTTTTTACTCTAAACAGTTTTATAGTGGCCAATCTCCACCATCCTTCTCCACAGTCAATTTCGCTTCCATAGTCGCCAATCTCAAGAACTCAATCCACTTTCATCAACACATATCCCATTCACATTACAAACCTCTCCCTTTACTGACAAGAACAATGGAAGCAATGTATGAATCACCAGATTTATACTCCATCAAATTTACAAAAAGCCTGGTAACGCAAAAGTTCAACTTTGTCAATTTCTTCACTTACAAATACTGGAAAAACATGATCACCACTAGCCTGAACTTCTTTTGTTGTGAGAAAACTCTCTCCTTCGATCCTCCAAAACACTAGGATTTGTCTGAAAAAAGGGACTAAATTATGGAAGCCAATGGAACCGGTTATTCGTGTGAAGGTGTGCGTGTGGGTATACTCAAAATCAGTTTTGTTCAGATAATGGGGTATCAATGCATCAAGAATGTGGAGACCCAAAAAAAATGCATCAAGAACGTGAACTGGATCTTTGCCCAAACTGCAAATTAGGCAGGAATGCTGCTCTCTCTACAGTCAATTTCTCTGCCCTTAATAGTCGATCTTATTCACTTGCCGCAAAAAATTACCCATCCACCTGACAAACCAGAGAAAACCCACAAACTGTGAGAGAGAGAGAACCCAGCAAGCTCTCCGGTGGCCATGGCTGTTTATAGAAAGATATTGGGGGAAAAAAATTACAAAAGGTGATGGTCCAATTGGTGTCGTTCCGTCAGGCAATTTTGGATTAAGCGCGCTCTGACCCGTTTTCCATCCACCGCATGGAGCGGGAGGTTCTCGCTGCTCTGTGAAGCCAGCCTTACGCGTTGCCCTCCTCTCTAGGAGCCATGACACTCCAGCCTTCGCCGGAGCAGCGTGGTTCAGCTCTATGCTTGGATCGGGCGGACCAGCAATTGCAGCACCGAATCCTACCATCCGGTTTGACCCAATGTTCCATCACCTTAATGCCTCCACTCGGATCACAAGCCCACGTTACTGAGCTCGGCGATTGGCTGAGCTGTTTCAGGACTTTATCAACCCAACGTAAGTTCTTCTCTTCTATCGATGTGGGATTGAAGTGACGGGTAAGGGCAATGCATTGGAGACTGGTTGGGAAGATAAACAAACAAACCCATCAACTTCTTGTGTCAGATGGATGACTTTTTACTATTTAAGGTAATAGATTTATTATTATTATTTTACACAATTCTATTATCATGTGTTTTCTGCTGAGAAATCGTTATTTAATATGTTAAAAAACAACTTATATGGGGTCTGATTTCATGTAGAATAAACCTTGCCTATAACAGAGGTGGCAGCAATTGTATAGACTAATTTCTGCCAAACAGGCCGCAATCCCATTATACAAGGGCGGAGCAATATTTCAATTTTAAGGAAAATCAAAACAAAAATAAAAATATTCACCACCATAAATAAATTTCTAATAAATTCAAACATAAGAAATATTTGAATTAATAAATAAATAAAACATAAAAGTAGCATCACACATTGATAATAAAATATGACCAAAAATTCACCTCGTACATTTGAATTCCCTTTATTATGGTGAAATAAAAAGACGTTTTTTTAACGGTGGAGCAAAGATATTATCTTATACGTGGTGATGGGACATATTTGGGGATTGATGGAAGGAACACGTATTTTCGATATTAAAGTCTTCGGAGTCCTCTTAGATTGACATGTGTACTCGACGTGTCAGTTTAAAGGTCCACCTTGGAGTGACATGTGTCCTCAACATATATGTCCCTGGAGTTCTCTCAGATTGACATGTGTCCTCGGCCTTCATGGTCCACCACGAGAGACTCTCTAACTAACACATTGCCTCGGCATTAAGTCGCCCATGCAAGCAATGGATAATGTTTTAATACGTTTATCATGACTTGGAAGTGGAGTTGGCTGTTAGCAACCGATTTCATCTTTCCCAGAATGTTAGAATGGTAGGAAATATAGTCCATTGACCGATGACAAGGGTACAAGAAGTATAAAGCTTTGAAATGTCAATCTATTTGAGGTTAATGGACGAAAATATCCTTTTGCATATGCAGTCATAGCCACAGCCAGGGGACATTAAATGACTCCCTCAGTGGGATGAGACGCATTTATTGCTTGGTAATATCAGAAAGACAAACATTAAATGCCTGAAGATCTGAGCATTAGATGTAGAAACTTCAATCATGGGAAAAGGAAGGCTCACTGCTAGATGATTGAGCACCATCTGCTGGCTTCCAAATAAGTCAATGAGGAGTCTTCCCTCCAATGGACCTAACAGTCCATAATGATTGACTCCAATAAGATATAAATAACTCTCACAAACACAAGTATAAAGTACGCAAACCCTTACACAAGCAAGAGAACAATACTTTTTCAACTCTCTTTCAGATACTGACTTAATTGTAGGAGGGATCACGCCAAAAAAATACTTTAGCGCCTTTCTAACCTTTTTTTTTGAGTGATAGGATTCTATTCGAAAGCCTACGAATGAGCAAATCATTTATAGAAGAGTTTCCTTACCATTCGTTACAACTTCTCAACACCCATTTGCTATAGAACCTACAATTTTTCAAGTAAACTCGAGGTCATTAGGTGAGAGATCTGTTAGTTCATCAAGTGTGCCAAAATTATTGCACACACGTGATAAACACATGAATAACAAATTTCACCGATAATCTTTTTTAAGATTCAAAAATGATAAATATATAAAGACTCAATGCTAAATCATTAAATGAGAAAAAACTTAATACCATTAAGCTTTAACAAAATATGAACCAAAAGAGTAGAGATAAATATTTACTTTATACATTTCAATTCAATCGTATATTAAACAAGAACATTAGAATATATTTCTATTCAAGTCCCAAAACCACTTATATTGAAAATTTTGGTGCTAATTTTTTTTTTTTGAGCCGCTTCCTTTCATACACACAACCAATGGGCCAATGATAAAAATCATTGTCCATTTTTGGAGTGAAACTTAACCGAAATTATCCTCCATTTTGTTCAAAAATTGGATATTTGAAAGAGAAAGAAAGGTTCTTGGGTTAGAACATTTTGTTGTTTGCATCCAATCATGTTTCAACGCCAAATAAGTCAATGAGGAGTCTTCCCTCCAATGGACCTAACAGTCCATAATGATTGACTCCAATAAGATATAAATAACTCTCACAAACACAAGTATAAAGTACGCAAACCCTTACACAAGCAAGAGAACAATACTTTTTCAACTCTCTTTCAGATACTGACTTAATTGTAGGAGGGATCACGCCAAAAAAATACTTTAGCGCCTTTCTAACCTTTTTTTTTGAGTGATAGGATTCTATTCGAAAGCCTACGAATGAGCAAATCATTTATAGAAGAGTTTCCTTACCATTCGTTACAACTTCTCAACACCCATTTGCTATAGAACCTACAATTTTTCAAGTAAACTCGAGGTCATTAGGTGAGAGATCTGTTAGTTCATCAAGTGTGCCAAAATTATTGCACACACGTGATAAACACATGAATAACAAATTTCACCGATAATCTTTTTTAAGATTCAAAAATGATAAATATATAAAGACTCAATGCTAAATCATTAAATGAGAAAAAACTTAATACCATTAAGCTTTAACAAAATATGAACCAAAAGAGTAGAGATAAATATTTACTTTATACATTTCAATTCAATCGTATATTAAACAAGAACATTAGAATATATTTCTATTCAAGTCCCAAAACCACTTATATTGAAAATTTTGGTGCTAATTTTTTTTTTTTTGAGCCGCTTCCTTTCATACACACAACCAATGGGCCAATGATAAAAATCATTGTCCATTTTTGGAGTGAAACTTAACCGAAATTATCCTCCATTTTGTTCAAAAATTGGATATTTGAAAGAGAAAGAAAGGTTCTTGGGTTAGAACATTTTGTTGTTTGCATCCAATCATGTTTCAACGCCATAAAATGTAGTTCCGCCCTAGCGTGTTTTCAGTAATATTTTTTCATTGCACACAATAAAAAAATTTGCACTTCATTTTGTTACAAAATCTAATTTTTTTGGGTAAATACAAAATCTAATTAAGGTCAACTAGCTCCATATTGTTGAAAAATTGATTATTTAGAAGGGTGAATAAAATTTTTTTAAAGATTTGTGGTCACTCTAATTAGTTATAAAAATAAATATAGATATCTATACCAAAAATAATAGCCAAAAGACATACATAGAAAAAATATATGTAATAGAATATTTAGAAGTATTTTTTGATAAATGTGCAGATTTTGATTTGAAATTGTGATATTTAGAAGTATATTTAAGAACAAAAAAATCAATTTGTTCAAAAAAGTAGTTTATCTCTAAATTTCCTCCCACTTTGGGAGGAAAAAATTGGTGGGTCTTTCTTTCTATCCCATTTTTCTTCCCCTATTTTCCATCTATGCAACTTTACATCAAACCAAACACACTATAAGACAACTTGCAAAAATTTCTTGTCGTTTTGTTTTGTATTTTATGAGGGAGCAATGCTATATGTGCATAAAAAATATGCAGCAAAATTTACACAAAATCACTTGCAACCATTGGATTAATGAGTTCTATCACCGTCTAATAACTGCAATTTTTTTTTGAAAACTAATATATTCATAACTTCATTCAAGTAAGATAATGCTAAACATAATCAGATAACAGTAAGCCTTAAGCTCGGGCGGAGGCAGCTGACCCAATTCACAGGAATAGAGTTAGACAAAACATTTGCTGCAACCCAATAAGATGTTCTAGGCTTGTGAGTAAACCTTAAACTCAGGACTTTTAAAAGGTGCCTAATATTCTCAATGACTCTGCATAAATTTAGTGCACATAAAATTATCTTGTACAAGATACTCAAAATCCAGTTAGAAGGAACGAATACAAATGGGCATAGCAGAAGATGGTCACTGTCTTGGAAGACGAAGAGCTACTACCTCAAAATTAGTCATGTCATGTCAACCCCCGTGTCCAACATTTGTGAATGGTTGTGACTGCTGGTCCAGCATAAAGAACAAACAACTGAACAAGAAGAGTTTTTTATGGACAAATTTATAGTTGATTTCAAAATTTTATAAAATAAGATAGCAACTGCTATCTAATCACTAAAGTCTCAATTCCCATTGTCTGAATTCTCCATGGTGTTGTCTAAAATCCATATATTTTTACTATTGAGATTCGTTCACCAGCGTTGCAGAGAAAAGATGAATACCACAGCTAGCTCCGACTCTGCAGAGATTTGTTCACCTGTAAGGCAAGCGCTGGGCCTTTGCTCTGGCACTCGTCGCAACCCACTCCCTTTCTGCACGTCGCTGATGTTGCCTTGCATTCTTTGCTCGCTTTGGGGCTAATCGATTGTCTCTCTCTACAAATGCAAGTCTAAATTTCTCAGCAATGGGTAATTCATTCGGGCTTGAAACTGAAGGAGATATCCTGGGTGTAAATCCAGAAACAGCCCATGTTTTTGGATCAATATCATTAACAACATGTTCATCCAGTACAACATTTAGCAATGCTTCCCTAGGAACCTCAATTCCCCGGTAACCAAATGGTGATGGCTTTGGGTTTACTATAATGCGTGGGCATTCAGTGGACAAGCTCTCTAATGAATCCTTGTCAATTTTCGGCTGCAAGATAAAGGAAAGGTGAGAAAGAAGTCAAGGATTGAGGACAGGAAAAGAAAAGATGGAAACCAAGGCCAACTTGTCCTCACCAAATGATGCTTAGAAGTATGGGTTGCAACCATAGACAGACGACAATGAATTTAAATGAAAAGAGAGAACAAACCCAAACAAGCCAGCGCAGTGATTGTGCACGAGCTAACTCCGAGGTATCAAGTTCCTCCCAAGAATCTCCCTCGACCTCATTTAGTGTTGGTTTCAAGATGCTCAAGCATCTGCGTGCAGTGTAGTCACTCCTTGGGCACCCTCTGCAACATTAACTTTGGTTCATTGTCTGTTATGAGGTTTACACCCCATGTCAAAATCCAATATACTGGGCCATACCCATCCCAGGTAACAACAATAGTAAAACATATAAAGCAAAAGTTCTATGGGTCAGCCAATGGAAAGTGCCAGTAACAATTCTGTTGACGAACTCAGTTTCATTATATTAAGGATGTCAAAGTCTTAAAATCATGAACGTATGTAGTCATGATATTTGCCTGAAAAACAGAAGTGACCAGAAATTACTTAGATCTCACTAATAATACTGTGCTCTTCATTATTATTCATATTGTTTTAAGTTTATGTAGAGCATAGACTCCCTTCTTACTGGAACACAGTATAAAATCAATTCTGCCACGCTTGTACATTAGCTTAACAACTTAAAGACCTGAGACACATCCTAACACCATGTCCAGTGAAGACCATCGTGTCATAAAGTTTGGCCTTTTCTGTTTCTGACCCCTCCAACCATCATTGTCCTGTTACTCTCACCTCTAAGTTTATCCCACTAAACAAAGAAGCAGCAGAGAATCATAGGCAATCCAGGATGCGAGTAGGAGTGAAAATTATAACCCATTATTGCATGCTGTTGCCCTTCTACAAGAGGTACTTGATTAAAGGAAAGAGAAAGTACCCCCATCTCAGAATCTCCAGTGAACGGCAATGTTCCATGAGTTCAAATACAGCAACTGATGTGATTTTGCTGCATCGACTGCAAAAAAAACCGTCTCAATAAAATTGAAGGTTCCAAAAACCAGATATTAGTGCAATAGCAAAGGCATATAGCTGGCCTTACTCAAAAGTAAGGCCGATACAAAATACATTATGCAACTAGGGAAATCAAATGTAATCAGCAATTAGACCTTTGTGGGAGTTTGACAGTGCAAAAAGTCAACAAGGGTGGAACTCAAAAGTTGCAAAAGCAGCTTTTTATTAACTAGCCAGACATCACCCGACGAGTTATATTGGTTTTGAAGCAAATCTATAAATGGAACCAGTCCCAACAGGAAATTGTTTCCCTTGATATAATCAAGCTCTTGTTGCATTCTAATAGACTATTAAACATTAACTCACTTCTTTGATGCTGAATCGATATAAAATCCAAACTTATACCTTATATCCACGGACCGAAGATATTTGCATATTTCTGCCACTTTCGATAAGCCAAAATCAGAAACATCAGAACCAGATATATCAAGATTTTCCCATGAACTTTCAGCCAATGCAATGATGACATCATCATTAAGTAACTTTCTTCTTCTCGCTATAGCTGCCATGGACATCTGGTTGGTTGATGAGATAAGTTAGACGTGTCAAAATAAAACACCACAAAATCTCTTGAAAAAGATGGATGAAATGTCTGCATATACACTCTAAAAGTAAGCTCAGATAGGTAAGAATGATAACTGGAAAACAGCTGTACTCCAGCATACCAGAATTTTGGATATTTTGAGCTTATATTTCTTTTACTGTAGGAATGGAATGTAGTTTGTATTTCTGTGCGTGCGGTTATTCCCCCCAATTCACATAGCTAACAACACTTTACATCATCTTTAGGGCAGCAAATCAAGATGCCCGTTTCCACATGCCGTTACCAACCCACACCATCGGTAAGGATAACATTGCCCTGTTTTAAACAGTCATCCGATCTTAACTAAGCACATAATCTGGTATTAGATATTTTTGATATTTTCATTTAAGAAAAACTCATATACCATCATTCAAGTAGAACAACACACCCCACAAGCAACTTGAGTTTTAGAAATGTTTTAGTTGTTCATCTGTTTATGCGAACCTTCGCGTGTCATAATGGGGTACAAAAGTATGCTTATTTTGAGTAACAGAAGTCCTCTCTAATATTTTGCTGTCCACCTTAACAATTTTTCCTCACACTAAGACATAATGAGGGATAATTGCATGACATAAGACCATATATCAAGCTAAATATATACCTTTGCTTGTCTGTACAACTTCAAAAGGCAAAACAAATAGTATCTACTCAAGGGTAATAATTTTCACCTTGATATCAGATGGGAAATTGGCTGCAACCTCAGCCAAGTCCTCAATTATATCTTCAAAATGCTTACCCACAACTCCTAGACATAAGCTGACCAATTTGGGAGGCTTTGGCTTCTCCAGAGGATCTAGTACTGAAATACAACAAGCTCGACAAGTTGGTCTATGTCTATAAATAATGAAAAAATTCGCATGTGTCTCCACGAATGAAATATTTCAAATAGGAACTTTGTTCTCCAGTTTTAGTATAACATACCATAATTTAAAAAAAGATTAAGAAGCACCCACATAGATACATCGATAGATTTGCGTGTATTCATGTAAATCTACATAATCGATAGATGAGAGATAGAGAAGTACAGGAGGATTGAAGGTTGGGACTGGAAATCTTAGAAGCCTTGCGGGCGTTGCTGGACGACTTGAGATTCAAATCGAGCTTCTGCAACGACGTCGTTATGACCACAGCAGGTTCCTCTTTGTCCATCAATGAGAGCGAGAGAGTCGATGAGTCCCGATACAGAGAAGGTTGATGAAGACAGAACAATTTGACCCCGCTATCTCAATATAAATATTAAAAAAATATATTATTTAAAATACAAATATTATACAACAATACTTGAGAAAAAAAGACAGTGGGGGGACAAAGTGTCATCATTCCTTGAAATAGTGAAAAGAACCCAAATTAAAACGACATCGTCTACACGAAGGGCATTTGCGTAAAACGATAAGCATCGTTGCCGGCTTGTCTGTTTTGGTGCAAGATGGACGGAGAAATGTGGATCAGTTTTTGAATTGCAGACACTCAGTTCTGAATTTCTAATCGAAAGCATACTACCATGGCGAAGGGACTCGGTGCCCAAAACCTACCGGCCGACGTGACTCAGGTGATCGATCAGCTGGAGCGCCACTGCTTGGCACCCGATGGATCTCTCGTCTCCAAATCCGCCTACTACGATCTCCAACTAGTACTCCATTTCTTCCCTCTCTCTTCGATTCCACATCCACTATTGAACTCCGTTTGGCTGCCGAGAAAATCTAGTTTATCGTTCTTTTTTCTTTTCACATGGATCGATTAGTCTTAAATGTCTTCATTTTATGGTCTCAATTTCATGAATATAGTTCTTGTATTGTAAGATTGTGTGGTTGTTGTTGTGTTGCAGGCCAGAGAGGAAATGTCGAGGGAGAGACTACGTTACTTAGAAGCCATGGTAATGTTATGGCCAGATAAGTTTATTTCAATTATACCATGAAATAGGGATTTGTATTTGCCTGGAGTGGAGGGGAATTAGGATTCTGGAACACTTGATGGATTTGTTGGTCGTTTTACTATGTATTTTATCTTAGTTTAAGCTATTCTTTTGCTGCTTGATGGCTTAATGTAGGCACTGTATTGCGAGGCAGTTGCGATGGTGGAAGAGTTTCAGCAGGCTGTTTCAGCGGCCAACTTTGGAGGAATTCGAGAGGTTCAGGGCCTATATCCACAGCTTGGTTTGAAGAACTCTCCTCAGGTTTCAGTCCTTTTGACATTAGAATCCAAAGTGTGCTTATAAATTATTGCATTGTGTAGCCTTGACGTAAGAGATATTATATGTATTCTTTGGTTTCAATAAAACTTGGTTTCCAAAGTAGATGAATGCACTTTTGGATTCCCACTTTATGACAAACTATGTGGTCAGTATGTGGCAACTTAGCTGCATTTGTATGTTCAATCAGTACATTAAATGCTATATTTTCTCTGCATTTTGCATTTGTTTTTAGGTAGAGTCGGTCTAACTAGACAAGAACTAGAATTAAAATAGCCAAGTTCTTACAGGTTTATGAGGCTCTTGAGCACAAGCTGGTCGTTGCAGAAGCCAATCAAAGGTTAAGGCTTCCACTTATTTCTAAAGATGGTGAGATTCAGGAGGAAGAAATTGAGAAATGTAGTATAATGTCAAGAAGCTCCCTTGATAGTACGAGTACCAGCGTCACTATAAGCTCAAGCTCAAACTCAAACTCAATGAACTACACAAATATTTCTGCAATTGGGACTGGTGGTACGACAAATAATGCTCTTTCTGGTGGTGCTACTGATGCAGCAGATCCTGGAGTTGGTGGTGTTCCTAATCGATTCCTTGGAATAACAGCTGTTTACTTGCGACAAACTCAACTCCAGCATGCACCACTATCTACGGTATGCATCAAGTGATGATGCAAAATGTGCTTTAAGAAATTTATTGGCTATTTTTGAGAGACTTCAACTCTATCTATCCACGTGACTTTTAAACAATCAATAAGAGGTCTATTTTGTTCTTCTCATTGTCACGTGAAATTAAATGCTATTCTATTCATGTGTATCTATATTTGTATATTTATATATATGTATGCATGCTTTGTAGTGAATCCTTTTATGTTGTTAAAGGAATAATTCATTTCTTTGTGATTGTAGGACATGGCAGAATACCAGATGTCACTTTTCCATGAGATAGAGAGCCGTTTAAAAGCAAAATGCGATAAGTTAGCTGATGCCTGCATATTAGATGAGTTTGGTCAGTCCTATATCTTACATCCCCCCCCTCCACCCACCCCCTAAAAAAAAAACCTGTGTGTGCACAGTGGCATTAGGCACTAACTTCTTCAGGGGGGACATAAAATAACATCCCTTAACTTCTTCAGGGGAGATTGTATTTGTAACTGATAAACTATGTGCATAATATTACTCCTTCCATGCTGCAGATGTCTCCTCAACTGGTAATCCAAATACAAGTGCTCGACTTCCAGAAAGGTTTGTATTATTTTTGGTGTTGTCATTATTTAATATATATTCACACTTATATAGATAGATTTATGTATGCATGTGCATGTGCGTGTGGAGTCCACAAGGAGTTTCAGATTTCTGATGATTAACCTTTAGCTTGCACTCTTCCACTGATCATGTTAACAGAGTAAAGTTAATTATTGAGGATATTGAGAGGGAAGAAACAGCTCTGCAAGAGGATCTATATTCTGTGGATAGAAAATTCGTGGAGTATTACAATGTATGTGTCAGTAGTTATAAACCGAACTTCAACCTACTATCATTGGACCTCTCTCTGTCGATATCTTCTGGTTTATCTTTTGCATTGTATCGAGTAATTTCCTTATGATGATGAGACCTCTTTTTTTCTTTTTATGTATGTGACCTGAAGGTTTTAGAGCAGATACTTGGTGTGCTTATCAAGCTTGTCAAAGATTTGAAGTTGGAACACCAACATAAATACGTAAGCTTGCTAGTTTCGATGTTCCCTCCTGATTAAGTATGTGATTTAAGCATTTATCTAGGAAAATATGCAAGGCATGGTATTAGGAAAATTCACCCTTAATATTATATGCACTTTCTGGCCTGGAGGGAGTTTCGGACTGATAGCATCTGAATATATTTGATAGGATGAGTTGCAAAAAACTTGGCTTTGCAAAAGGTGTGAGACCATGAGCGCAAAATTGAGGTTTGTCTCTCCAGCCTTTTTTGGTTCTTTTTTACAATAGCATTTATATTGCCCTCCTTTTGTTATTGATGCTCAGATTAGAAAATGCTAGGAATAACACAGCTACTTTTACTGGGTAGTATATAAAAAACAAGCATGATGGCAGCCGGTTCAATGCATGAAGCAGCAGCAAAACTTACAGATCATTCTAGACATTTGAGATTTTTAACTTTTTGAAGAGTCCATTGTAGGAATATGAATAAATCTCTCTGATCTTTAAGTGTGTCACTCCAGTATGAGTTTTTAATATCCACTTGACTCAAAACTGCAATCGCATAGTAAGAAACTTCTGTTCCACTCTTCAATTTTAGATGATACCAGTGACATGGTAACTCCTTGGACTGATAAAGGGCACATTTTTTTTGTTAACGGTTGTCGCATGATATTTATGTTCTGTAAATCGTCCTAATTCTAATACAAATATCGATATGACATGTTTGAGCCATTGTTGATTCCATGATTTCAATGATTGGGAATTATTGTCATTAACAGCCTTTTTTAATCCCATTGTGACTTAGTGTTCTGGAGCATATTCTCCTGCTTGAGACTTATACTCAGGAATCAATTCCAGCACTCCACAAAATAAGGTGAAGGATATGACTTACCCAAATTGTATTGAGTTTATGATTCAGTGAGAAATTGTTACTAGTTTTTCTTGTTTTTCAGGAAATATCTGGTTGAAGCTACCGAAGAAGCTTCCCTGGCATACAATAAAGCTGTATGCTTCTTTAGTATTTAGTTTTTTACTATATTGCCAGATAGTTTGTTCATGAGTGTGCATCTTCTTTTTTTTTGGGTACTGAGCATACTCCTTTTTTTAAGCAACAGAAGATTTTAGAGATGTATGATAGTAACTTAGTTATCACACACTTCTCTAATCTCCGCGTGGTTGAGTCTATGAGGGATCCATTGGCTGGTGAGGCCAATTTCTATGGATGCTTGGAAGAGTTATATGTTTATTTTTGTCCTTATCTTTCAATATACTAGTCCAAGGTGTAAATCAGGTTGCAATTTACCTAGAAGATTACGTATTTAGGTGTATTCGTATATATGTGATTTAACTGGGAGGAAACCCAGATAAACAAAAGAAAAAAAATAAATAACTATTTTGCTATGTCTGACAATTTTCTATCAAAAGGCCAAAGGATATGACCCTTTATTTATCTCCTTTCATAGGGATTATAATAGTATTTGTGACTATGTGTGTGTGTTTTGTGAGTTGCTGTCTTCTCTTTTTTGGTCGTGTTAGCCTCACAAAAGTTCTAATGGTTAAAATTGTTACCAGGTTACACGTCTTCGGGAGTACCAAGGTGTTGATCCTCACTTCGACACAATTGCAAGGCAGTACCAAGACATTGTTAAGGTAGATTTTAGCATCCCTACTAATACTGCTGCCTCGGTTCTGGGGGTTAACTCTGATTCCAACATTTTTCTCGCAGAAATTGGAAAACATGCGATGGACAATTCACCAAGTTGAAATGGACCTGAATCGCTTACCTGATCACCCAAGCACGTAATGTATCTTGTTGCATTTGGTTTTGTATTTTTGAGATTGTACTTTCATACTGCATTGAAATTAACATGGAGTTGTTTTGTGAATCGTGCATATGATATTGGGAAAGAAAAAAAGAAGAGATGATCTTGATTATTCTGTGCATGTTTGCACCTGCGTTTCTTGCATTCATGCAATATTATCATTTGATCACGAGAACCATGTGTTACTTTAAAGTAAAGGTTGAGATATTGTACAGGTTTAAGGTTGAGAACCATGTGTCACTGCTGCCATAGCTTCAGAATTTCTATTTTCTATTTTCTTTTTTTTTTGGGATTCAACGGTCAAGGTGTTCAGCCCATTTTATGCATATTTCGATTAATCCTCTCTGTGATCGGTGTAAAGATAAGTCAGTCACATTAGAACTAGTTTATTCATAAAGGATAAATATCTCGTGACCTCCCTAAGAGATTGCCAAGAAATTCTATTTTCGGTGTAAGAAAAACAGAGGCATAAATGTCCACGAGATATGTACCCTCCATTAACGAGACCTGGGTAAATGGCCTTTTATGATCCAATTGCTAAAAAGGTATATCATATGCAACTTAAACCCAGTCTAATAGCCTAGTAATGCAAAACTGGCTAAAAAAAATAGACAAAAAGTAGAGATTCAGATCTCTTTTAATATTATTTTCTTCAATTTTTGTATTAATAGATCATTTATTATTAATGAGTGAAGGATGTTTTTGTATACACCGAGTCTATTTAGAATTGTTTTTTTTTGTGTGTGAAATAGAGGTTTGAAAAAATGAAATAAAAAAGTTAAAGTTAACAAAGTTCTTGAAACCGTTTAGATTGTTTCTGTAAAAGTAGGTTTTTTCATAAAAATCCTTGGATAAGTTTTATTTTTTAGTTTTTCCTTGGTGTTAAACTATTCAATAAAGACGATGGAAAAATTGCTCAATAAACCCGAATCCAAATAGTTTAGTCTTCTTTTTCTTTAAAACTAAAAAAAGTTGAGGTTTTTAGTCAACTTCAAACAAGTCCAATGAATCTCCTTTGAATGTATGGTATATAATTTGTCAAGAAAAAAAATTGAAAAAAATTATATTAAAAAGAATCTCACTTTAAAAGAACATCCTAAATCATATGACACCAAAATTTTCAAGTAAATTTGAATATTAAATGAATAGAAATGAGACTAAAGAAGTATTAGTACAGTATCACATCATTTGGCATTTATTTTTGACTAATTTAAAACTATTCTATTTATTTTGGGGTAATTACATCTAGAAGCCCTTTTGGTTAGTAAAAATTTACCTTCCATTTCATTATGGTTAGAGGGTCCATCAAACTTGGAATTCGAAATCAACAAATCAGTAATGCAGACCTATGAGTCAGCATTACTAAAACTGGCAATGACTGTCTTTTTAAAGGCTAATCTCACTTTGCAAGATATTTGGATTCTTAATTTTACCCTTAAACATTAAAAAATTAAATTTATACCTTCAATATTTTGAATTAATAATAATATGAATGTGACTCAAATTGCCTTTTTTATTTAGTCATAAATTGAAATATGTAAGGTATAAATGATTTAGGAATGAGGAAAAAATATATTCATCGCTATAGATATTTGTTTGTGATTAATTTAATACATTTTTGTCTATCGAAAATAAGATTTCATTAATCAGATAGAAGTTAATTCTATCATGTGCAAATCACACAAGGCACCAATAATTTGTGAATTTATACATTAATTCATATTTAAAACACTTATAATTTACGTGTTTCAGTTTATGAAGAAAAAATAAACGATAATCTAAGTTAGGTTCACATTGTTATTAATTCATAATATTAAAGTTGACTTTATTTTCGTCAATTTTTCTTTTATTTTCTAATTTATTGCTATTATAAAAACATAATTTAAAAAATAAAATAAAATAAAATATTAAGACACTCAAAAATTCGTTGTCTTTAATGTATCCCGAAGCTGACCTTCCCAAAAAAAAAAAAACGTATCCAGATACTTCTCAGGCTTTGGGACCCACAGTATTCCTTGACCGGGAATCTAGGTTGGGGTGCGTTAAATCAACGCATTAATAATCATATGCCGTCATTCATAGTTCAGATGAAAGCCGGTGGTTCATCGTAACCGTTCATTTTACTCTTCTTACCGACATAGAATAGGAATTCTTAACCATGGTCAGAATAACCTTAACCATGATTAACATCTCAAACCCACCGCCCCTCAACTCTCTATATATATGGACGCCATATGCCTCTTTTTTCCATATCACTAGTAATAATCTCGGTGGTTTCCCTCTCCAAAGCTTAGACTTTTTAGGTAACATTCTGATTATTAGCTTTATCATCTGAATCTTTTTTTGGATTTGGGTTTCTGTGTTTCTTGGTTTTGTTAAACCACGGTGGAGGACTCAGATGTTTTGATCTTTCGGTTCTTTTGTCTTGGTTGAAAATTGTTATTGCGATAGAGATCTACGCTCTCTCTTTTTCTTTTTTCTTTTTGCTTTGTCTCCCCTCTCTATTGGTTTATGAATCCATCGCCTTTGATGGGTTGTATGGGAACGAGTGATTTGCTTTTTTTGTTTTAGATTTTTTTTTTTTTTTTTCTGGTATGTCGGATTTAGGAGTGAGATTGCTTCAAATTGTGGGGTTATTGTCTTTATATGCCTGATTCATTCATGTTCGTATGATTTTCCTTGTTCTGTGGTGATTAGGGGACATCATCATCTGTAGTTTCTGTTCGGGTTCATCGTCTGTAATTGGTTTATATTAATTTCATAACATATGATTCTTGATTAGCAGTTTGGATGAAAAAGGGTCATTCAAGCATTCCAATATTAGTGTCAATCACTTAATTATATTGGTTTATGACATATGAGCCTTGATTAGCAGTTGTGATGAACATGGTGGGGTCCTTCAAACATTCAAGATATATTATTGTCGACCAGTTGTTTATATTGTTTTCATGACATATATGAGCCTTGATTAGCAGTTGTGATGAACATAGGGGTCATTCAAATATTCAAGATATTATTGTCGGCCAATTTTTTATATCCAATTCTTGATATTTATGTGCCTTGATTAGCAGCTGTGATAAAATGGGGAGATTCATCTTTAAAAATTCATCAATTGTTCATATTGATTTCAAGAAATATGATCCTTGATTAACAGTTCGTGACAAAATAGGGACATTTAGACATTGTTATAATTAATGTTGAAGTGTGGTCTTGATCCTTGTAAGATGTTTTAATCATATCGCAATAGTTGCAGGCTTGGAGCTCACCTTTTTTTTTTTTATTATCTATCAGGCTGCTGAATTAGCTTCCGGTTTCAATTTGTTTCTATTTGCATTCAACAAATTACATGGTTGAACTCGACGTCGAGATCCCCACTGCTTACGATCCATTTGCTGAGGCCAAGGACTCTGGTGCCCCTGGGGCCAAAGAGTATGTGCATATCCGTATACAGCAAAGGAATGGAAAGAAAAGCCTGACTACGGTTCAAGGGCTGAAGAAAGAATTCAGCTACGAGAAAATCCTTAAGGACCTCAAGAAAGAGTTCTGCTGCAATGGTAATGTTGTGCAGGACAAAGAGCTTGGCAAGGTGATCCAACTTCAAGGAGATCAGCGCAAGAATGTGTCCAATTTCCTTGTTCAGGCTGGCATATTGAAGAAGGATCAGATCAAAATACATGGTTTTTAAGGTTTCTGGTATTTTGTGTGTTGTGTGGTCGTGTCAGTTGATGATAGGTAATTACCACCAGGTTCACCCTGTGTGGTTGGTTATCTAGACTCAGTTTTACCTAATTTGGGTTTTTTTTCTTTCCTTTTATTTCCTGCTTTGATATGTGTCATGGGTTCTTCAGTGAATTGTACCCGGATCTTCAGTTCCTATATCAGTAATAAAGTTCATAGTTTTGTAGTTACAATGGTGTGAGCTTCTCTCTATTCTCTCCTCTTTTTGTTTGGGTCTTTTGCTAGATATGATGAAAGTGTGGTACTGTTTTGCTTTGTTGGGGATTGTTAAGAGCATTCTTCGTCTGAAGGCTTTCTATTTGCTTATTCATGAGCCTATTGAAAAATTCCTGACGATTTGTTGGTGTTGTATATGTGCTGCAAGCGGATTGGGAATTTGATTCTTTGTTCATCATTGAATCATCACCCGTTATAGCAACTTTTTGGGTGTGAATGTCTTGATGGTTTATAGTAAGGTGGTTGGATTGTTGTTATGATGGATTCTGGGGAGAAACTCTATCATATGCCTGAATTGGCCCAATTGTATATGCACCAACTTCACTAGCTCTTGGGATGCTTGTATACGATGGGTGTGTATGTGGCATCTACAGTTTGATGCTGTTGAACAGCTTGATGGTATGTTTTGCATTGGTGGAGGGTTTGTGGTGGTATTCAAATTGGTTGTTAGTCGCGGTGATGCAAGATCAAGACAAGCCCCAGCCCTATGAAACCATGACATATGGACTAATTCCGAGTTGGCAATTTGTGCTGCCTGCCTGGTTTGCTTTGTGATTATTACTCAATGAGCGTGTTAAGCTAGAGATTGAGATGTTGCTGTGGAATGTGGTTACCGGTGATTTGCCCGAACTTACAGATTTTAATTCTTGGAATGCAAGTTCGAAGATTTCATGCCATCTGTGGAAGGAAATGAGACATATGATTAACTGAAAGAAAGATTTGGGGGCAGATTTTACCCCCAAAATAAAGAGCAGACATTGGACTCGGCATGACAGTTGGAGAGGAAGAAAACTAGACCAAAGAGCATATCTATGAGGAGGTTAGTATCTGTCATGTGTCACCTTGAGATCACCATCCTCAATTCTACTAATAAGGGAGCTTGGTCCTGGAGCTATTATAATTATGTGCACCTTCAACATCCCTCATTCCTACCTTGAGGTATAGAAGCAGTAAAAGTAAAAGGAGGTATTTTTCTTTATACCCTTTTACAACATTGGAAGGAGGAGGATGCAAACGTTCTATATCTGGCTGGACTGAACAGAACTACTATTTTTAGTCTTTAGACACTCCTTATAAGACACAGGTAAGGCCAAGAATCTTGCCCTATCTGAGAAAATAGTGGGGAGGTCTGTGGGTCTCCAGCCTGTAAAGCTAATGAATCAAGCCTTTTTAGGTCATAAAAGGCAGGGCTGCAGGGCTTTAAGCTGAATATAGTGCAAACATAAATCTAGCAGAAACGATGTTGTGATGTTCCCATCAGCATTATATGCAGCCTGATCATTTCAAAACAATAGACTTTTTCGATTGCAAACATAATTTAAGTTTCAGATGCTCATCAGCTATTGATACATATGTGAAGCAGTATCTTGAGACAGAAGAGAAGAAGAAACTTAACGAGAGTCGAAGACTTGGACAACAGTATGGCCACACATGAAATTAGGAATATACCAATGATTTACTCAAAACAAATGAAATAAGAAGCCTGTCACACATACATCTAGCTAAAAGGAACGATTTCCTGATGAGATCAAATGCTCCAACATCTTTACGCCACCAATTCTTTAGGCTCCCTTCGATTAGCAAATGTAATTTTGTGATGATATCAGAAGTGCTGTACTTGTGCACAAATCATCAATATCACTAGAAAAGCTTGCCAGTTGTTTGGGTTCCACGTCTCATCATTGTACAGAACTCCTCGTAGTCAATTCTTCCATCCTGCAAATTTGATACAAATAAGCATGGATGCATCATTGTGTTGTGAAAATCCTATTTGGTTTGCATCTCAAAAAACAGTATTTGAAAATTATTTTTTGAAAGTTTTAAAAAAGTGTGTTTTAATATTTTTTGTCTCGCAAATCTGTTTGGTTATATAATTCCAAAAACAGTTCTACAGAATAGAAAACAGTAACTCAAAAAAAAATAAAAACAAAAATATGATGGTAGTGTATATCGACGTGGTGGTGATGGAAGTGTGGTGGAGGTGTTTTCTAAATTCTGGAAAAGTTGTTTTCCAAAACACACAAAACAACCCTAACTTATTCTCTAAATTTAACCACTTTTTGTTCTCAGTTTTCAAAAAACAAAAACATAAAACAGTTGGTCAAACAACTTTTCTCCCCGAAACAATTTTTGAAAACAAAAAAAACAGTTTCAAAGATGCAAACCAAATAAGGCTGTAAGGTTTTCAAAGTAGAAAAAGAACTCACATTATCTGTGTCCACTTCAGCAATTATTTCCTTAATGCTCTCTGCATCGCCCATTCCACGTTCTTTCATTGCTGTTTCTAATTCATCTCTTGTGATATATCTGAAATGACATCCAAAAGATTTTTCGAGTTCAATGCTCCATAGAATATTGCATTCAACGATAGGACAGTATGGAGATACAAATTATGATATTTATCACATATGTGGCACTAACCCGCTATTATCTGTATCAAAATACTGAAAGGCTTTGTAAAGGTGTTCCTCTTTCTCAAGTTTGTGTTTATGCATGGTAGCAGTGACAAATTCAATGTAATCAATTGTACCATTTCCATCCACATCAGCCTGCAACAGGCAAAAGGCAGATTATGTTTGTTAGCAAATTGACCATAACGGAGAAGTACCAAAAATTATGACAAGAAGATACTTCCACATCCAGTAATATCTTACAGCTTCCATGAGCTGCTTAACTTCAGGCTCAGTGAGCTTTGACCCAAGTCGAGCCAAACCAGTCTTTAGTTCTTCATATGTAATTGTTCCACTTTTGTCGGTGTCCATATTTGTAAACATTGTTTTCAGCCCTTGAATTTCCTCTGCAGAGAGATTTTCAGCGATGACCTAGAATAGGTTTCAGAATCCACCAATTTCATTAGAAGAGAAAGATAATATTCAGACCCATGATCTGGCTACATA